ACTAGAATAATGTCCTGTAAATGAAAGCAACATAAAAAGTCATTCGATTTCTGATTTGTTATAACAACTGATCTCAGTCCTAGAGAGCCAATGATGGGAAGACACTTCCCTTGTGTCAGTAGGGAGGTGGGGGGATGATGTTTTGGAATGCAGCGTATACTGTCAGACACAGAAGCTCTGTTTTTCTTTGTTGCAAGGAAGGATTCATTAGGGGTTTTAAAGGGGAAAGGCAGTGATGCTTTTTTTCTTAGAAAAAAATTCAATGTGTTTAATGAGAAAAATAATAAAAATATCACTTAAGGGATAATTCTGGTACTTTAAACCAATACTGAGACTACCTCAGCTTTCAGGTCAACCTCTGACAGGATGATCTGTAGATTAGAAAATTAAGTTAAAATTAATAAATAAAATAAAATTTTAAAATAATGTTTGTCAAACCTATATTCTTTGTATCATTTCCATTTTAGTTTTCTAAGTGCCAGATGCTGGGGGTGTGTTTTTAATGTTGGATAGGACTCTGTTATCCCACACTTTGCCCCTAATTGCTTTGAGGAAATCCAGATTCACTATGGCCAATCCATTTTCCCCATATCTCCTGGCTCTCTCCCCTTTGCCTTTTGATTCCTGGCACAGAATCTCTCTCTCTCTCTCTCTCTCTCTCTCTCTCTCTCTCTCTCTCTCTCTCTCTCTCTCTCTCTCTCTCTCTCTCTCTCTCTCTCTCTCTCTCTCTCTCTCTCTCTCACACACACACACACACACACACACACCATCATGCTGGCATGCATATAAAGAAATGCAAAGAAATGTAAATGTAAATAAATCAGTTTCTTGATTTTGCAACTCTGTCACTTTGACATCTGTAGATTTCTTAGAGGTTGTGGGGTGGGTGAAGGGAACAGCAAGGAGGAGTGAGTAACTTGATTTTAATGATCTATACAGTAGTCATTGGAAAACACATATTTTTGCCCAGTTTGTCATCCAAAAAGCTTATAGAGAAGTGGAACATTCGGGCAGTGCATCCAAGGGGCACAAGCTTTGTTCCCATCATCTAATCTCAATTTTGAAGGACTTGGCATTTTAGCTACAAAAGAAATCCAAAGATGGGCAGCAGAGTCTCCTAGCTTATTTCCTCCCCATCTGGTTTTAAATTAATATTTTACCATCAAGTTGGGGAACTGTGAAAAGAAAAGCACCTGGGTAAATTTCTTGTGGCCATCTCTGTGGACACTCACTTTAAAGGTTTTCTAAAATCAGTTAAAGAAATAAGAATCAGAACCAAAATCTGGATGAGAACACTGGGGCTTTGGAAAATTTAGAGGGTCACTCGTAGTATTTCAGCATCTATAAACAGCTGAGTTCAGGACATGCTTAGAATAATTAATAAATTAACAAGTATTTATGAAGCACCCACTGTGTTCCAGGCAGTAGCAATACAAATGCAAACAGCAAACCCTGCTCTCCAGGAGTTACCGGATGGCAGGCTTCCTCCTTCCTCCACCCAGCGTTTGCACCCTGGGAGCTCTCCTGGCCCCTTTGTTCCACTCGGCCCCAAGCTGTACACATGACAGCAGCCTTAGAAGTAACCCCATCATGTCCTAAGATATTCTGTCTCCTACACCCTCCCTAGCCAAGGTGACTCTGAGGCTAGGTTTCATGCTGCTTACCCTGGGTGCATCTCTCTTTTTTTTCTCTTAATAGTATTTTATTTTTTTTTCCAATTCCATGTAAAGACAGTTTTCAACATTCATTTTTATAAGATTTTGAGTTCCAAACTTTTCTCCCACCCTTCTCATGCTTCCTCCCTCTCCCCTCCTCAAGACACCATGCAGTCTGATATAGGCTATACGTGTAAATCATATTAAACTTATTTCCACATTAGGCATGTTGTGAAAGAAGAGTCAGAACAAAAAGGAAAAACTGATGGGGTGCTTTGGTGCTTGTGTTTGGGTGCTTGTGCTTGTACTTGGACCCAAATTTCCCCCTAGCCTCAGAAACACTGTCCCTGAAAGTTTCTCCCCAGCCCAAGGACCCTGTGCTTAGCAATTACTCATGAGTGGGCCCCAGCAAGACCCTTCTCTCTCTCCCTGGTGCAGTTCCAAACAGCACCTGAAGGATTTATTAGTTTAAACTGGCTTTGCACTGGGTCATAAAGACATTCTTACCCACTACTATACTATCCTACCGCCCTACCTTACTATCTACATCCTGGGCTCCTCATTAACTGTATTCTAGACTTAAGACATATGTATACTCCCTACATCTATCTTGCCAAACAAAACATTGATTGGTGGCAGACTGGACAACTCTCAGTTACCCTGAATTCTAGTTGACTTAGTGACATAGCAGGCCTAAAACCACACTTCCACGTGGCCCCCCTTGTGGGCTTTTCCTAGTGAACTCTGGGTAAAACAAATGCCTGTGCAGTAGGTACAAGAAGTGCATGTTCCTTTAAGAACTGACCACTCCTTAACCACTCCCTAATCCCACCCTGAATCCCCTAGTTAGCATATTTGGCCCATGTTTTATTGTATTTTATCCTATATAAACTTTAACTGTACCTTTCTAAGGTTGCAGGATCCTTTAAGAATCCCTGCCCGCTGAAAAGCGTAACAATAAACTTTGCCACCTTGGCTTAAAGAATGCTTGAGTCTGTGAATTCATTCCAGATGACCCATGTACTTCAGCCTTTGAGGGGTCACAACCTCTCAACCTCTCACACCACAACAAAACCATGAGAAAGAAAAAAAATGAAAATAATTCGCTTTGATCTGCATTCAGACTCCATGTTTCTTTTTCTGGATGTGGATAGCATTTTCCATCATGAGTCTTTTGAACTTGTCTTCAATCATTGAATTGCTGAGAAGAGCTAAGTCAGTCATAACTGATCATCATACGATGTTGCTGTTGCTGTGTACAAAGTCCTCTTGGTTCTGCTCACTTCACTCTGCATCAGACCATATAAGTCTTTCCAGGTTTTTCTGAAGTCTGCCTGCTCATCATTTCTTATAGCACAACAGTATTCCATTACATTCATATATGACAACTTGTTCAGCCATTCCCCAATTGATGGGCATCCTCTCCATTTCCAATTCTTGGCCACCACAAAAAGAGCCGCTATGAATATTTTTGTACATGTGGGTTCTTTTCCCATTTGTATGATCTCTTTGGGATACAGCTCTAGAACTGCCATTGCTGGGTCAAAGGGTAGGCACATTTTTATAGCCCTTTGGGCATAGTTCTAAATTGCTCTCCAAAATGGTTGGATCATTTCACAACTTCACCAACAATGCATTAGTGTTCCAATTTTCCTACATCTTCTCCAACATTTATCATTTTCCTGTCTTGTCATGTTGGCCAATCTGATAGGTGTGATGTGGTACTTCTGAGGCCCATTCTTGATATAATCTGCCATGTTGTTTCTTGATAGGATGTACAGTGCAATGTGGGTTGTAAGGGGGCGCCAAAGTGTTGGAGTCAAGAAGACTCCTCTTTGTGAGTTCGAATCTGGCTGCAGACACTTACTAACTGTGTGGCCTGGGTCAAGTCACTTAACCCTGTTGACCTCAGTTTTCTTATCTGTAAAATGATCTGGAGAAGGAAATGACAAGCCACTCAAGTATCTTTGCCAAGAAAACTCCAAATAAGGTTAAGAATTGGAAACAACTGAACAACAGTGGAGTATTTTTTCCCCTGAAGAAGAATTTCCACCTAAGTGGATTTTTTTTGTAACTGTGTTTGCATTTTACCAATTACAATAGAGCAAAAGCTATTAGAATGTTCAGTTTCATTCCCCTTTTTTTCAGACATGACATTAACATAAATTATGACATCATTGGGTAATTAAATATTGTTAGGTTGGTCTCCTTTTCCTTTGTTTCTAATTAGGATTATCGGTGACAGGATCAAGTCCTATCTCTCTGACTACAGCAAAACATTAAGTTCTAGGTCCTTAGGCAAAACTTTTATTAAGCAAAAGAGCATTGAGTCAGGAGTCCTGGGTTCAAAGAGTCAGGAGGAAAATCTTACCTCTGACATTTACTCCTATAGTTGTGTGGCTACGGCCAGGTCAATTAACCACTAAGCCCCAGTTTCCACATCTGTAAGATGACAATAATAATAACTATAACTATGTCACAGGTTTGTCAATTCAGCAGACAATTCTTAATGGCCCACTGAGTGCCAGACACCCTGGATATAAAGACAAAAATGAAACAGCCCCTGCCTGCCCTCAAGGAGTTTACACTCTATGGTAGGAATATAGAATTTACATATATAAGTAAATACAAAGTGCATGCAGATTGATACCAAATGATGTCAGGAGGAAGTGAGAACTAACAGTTATGGAGATCCAGAATGACCTTGTTTAGGAGGCAATGGCATCTAAGCTGTGAAATACTATTTGTCTGTTACTAGTGAATTACAAAACAAAGGGTTCACTCTTCTTGGACTAGGGATGCTCTGATGAGGTCAGATTTTGAAAGAACATTCGGCAACTATGGAAGTAGGAGCCTATAAACCAAGACACTTACAAACGACTGGCAATAAACTTGAAGAATAATGCCAAGAAGGCAAAAGCCTCCCTCCCCCCCCCGCATGAGCTGAGGTGGGGGGGTTGTTTGTTTTTTAAAATGCTCAAGACACTAAAGTATAGTTGACATTGTATTGTTGGCTCTTTATTGTTTTGTTAAAATTGTATTTGATAAAGAAGATGAACTTAGTAAGGGCAATTGTGGGGGAGGATGGGGGGAGAGACAGAGATAGAATTGATGCAGAGAGATGCAGAGATGGGGTGGGGTGGGGGAGGAGAGAGAGAGAGGGAGAGAGAGAGAGAGAGAAAGAGAGAGGGAGAAAGAGAGAGAGAGAGAGACTGAGACTTTGCTACTTTGTCTCCATGTTTTCCACCAAAGAAAATGACCTTCAAATTGGAAAATTAGAACAGACATAAGTGGGAATTAAACCTCTCAGTAAGAAAAAAGATAGAAAGAAAATACCCAGCCACTTGAAGGAAGCACCAATCTCCAGGCACAGATAAATTCCATCCTGGGACACTAAACAGACTTGCAGACATGATCACAGACCACTGTAAATAAGCTCCGAGAAATCATAGAGGAAGGTCGACCTGATAGAAGATTAGAAACAAACAGACACAGTTCCAATTTACACAAAAGAGGATTATGAAAAACAAAGACCCCTAAACTTGACAACAATCCTCAGAAAAATTCTAGCATGAATTACTGAAGACATGACTTATTCATTCCCGGCAATGTAGAAATTTAGAAAAGAGAGAGGTGGTTACTAGGTTCATGAAAAAGCCTTGTTCAAATAAACACATTTTCTTTTTTGATAGTGGCAAGGCTTTTTTTTTCTTTTGATAGTTCACCAAGGGTCAAACTGGACAAACGATCTAGCATACTGAATTTGGCTTGGGAGATCAGTCAGTAAACAACATAATAAGAAGGGTTTTCAGTTTCTTATGGGTTCTCAGAGAATGCAGACTTCCAGGAAAGGATGATGTGGCACAAGACATAAATCCTAGGAGAGGTAGCTTTTGACTGACAGGAGAGATCCTGTAATAAATGAGCAGTCTCCAGCATCGGAGGTCTTCTGGAGGAGGCTGGATGACAACTTACCAGAAAGGGTGAAGAGGGGATCTCTGTTTAGGCATGAATAAGAAAGATGACCCCCTGGCATCTCTTCAGACTCTGAGATCTGAGTCCCTTCACATTAAGCAATGGCATTGACCCTCCAAAATGTGACAAATTAAAGAAGAATGAATAGCTAAACATAAAAACTGGAGAGTTGCTTATTTTGTTAAAATTTTTACCCCTTCCCTCTCCAAATCTACTAAATCATATTATCAATAGGGCTAAAATCCAAGAACTATGAGTCTTCTCTATTATAAGACAAACCTTTATTCCAAATGTACTTTTCTGAACATACAGGGTATTGGGGGCCAATATTATGTTTTTTGTTGTAATCGAGCCTCTAAAAGATCAGTCAAATAACATTTCTTTGAACATTAACTAAATTTGGAAAACAAGCAACTTAGCCACGAATTTGGTAATTTATACTTTAAATATTATGTAATAAGACAGTCTTTCAGATATAACCAGTTAACATAAATTGTGTGAGAACTGTTTCTCTGAATCTTGAGTGATTTCCTGCTATCTTTCTTCTGGGATCTTACTATAAGATTTTTCAAAATCAGACTTTAAAATCCATTAAGAATCCATTCTCCCATCAAATCTTTCCTTTTGGATTATATCAAACTTTGGCCAGGGGAGGAGATCACTTACCCTTAGAGTAGGTATTTGTTCATCTTTTTCTATTGCAATAGGACTACTGTCTAGACTGGGCAGCTAGGTGGCATAATAGATAGAGTGCTGAGCCTGGAGACAGGTGGACCCGAGTTCAAATCCAGCCTCCGACACTTACTAGCTGTGTGACTGAGCAAGTCACTTAACTCTGCTTGCCTTAGTTTCCCCCTCTGTAAAGTGAGCTGGAGAAGGAAATGACAAACCACTCTAGTATCTTTGCCAAAACAAAACAAAACAAAACAAAACAAAAAAACCAAAAAAAACCCCTAAAACCCCAAATGGGATCACAGAGAGCTGGACATTACTGAAATGATTCAGTAACAACAAAACTGTCTAGGCTATCATCATAAGGGCCACAGACCTATAGCTAGAAGGGCCATCCAGTCCAATTCTCCCCCCTTTTGCAGAGTGGGAAACTGAGGCCCAGAGGGGTTCAAGTGATTTGATCATAGCCCTAGACGTGGAAGGGACTTTCAAGGCCATTTAGCTCACAGCTTCTTACCCTTTATTGTGTCATGGACCCTTCTGGCAGCCTTGGAAGCCAATGGACCCCTTCTCAGAGTACTTTTTTAAATGCATAAAAGACACCAAAAAAAAATAATAAAATGCATAAAATAAAATACATAACAATGTAATTATTTTTTACCCATCTATGTTCACGGACTCCCCCCAGATCTAGCCACAGACCACTTGGAGGATCTTAGATCCCAGCTTAAGAAACCTTGAGCTAGTCAAACCTCTTCATTTTACAGATGAGGAAATTGAGGCACGGAGGGGGTAAGTGACTTGTTACAAGATCATACGTATAGAACTGGAAGGAACTCTGAGGTCATCCAGTTTAACCTCCTTTTATAGATGAGAAAACTGAAGCCCAGGATATGTTTATTTACAGAGAAATACCTGGACCCACAGATGACAGAAGGAGCCAGCTGAACCACCATGTTCTACCCCATCCCTGAGGTTCTTCCTATTCCAACTCCATTCTTTTTGTTTGTTTGTTTGTTCCAGGCCATGGGTCAGAGCTCTGGGATTCTAAGGGAAAATAGCAGATAAAGGATTCAGACCAAGCATAAGTGTCTTGTTATATATCCTTTCAGCTCAGCCCCAAACTAGGGAAGCATCACAAGATCACAATGGACTAATGGTGGGTTTTGTCACAGCCCTTTTTTACCTCTTGCATTTCTCTATGTTTTATGTCTCTTATCCCAATCCCCTTTCCTTCTTTCCTTCTCTATATCATTTTTGGTCTTTCCTGTAACTCCCACTTCTGGGGCTTAAGGCCAGAATAGTACATTTCAAGACTCTGGCCAAAATCTTGCTAGACCAAGCTGACTTACTCCCTGGGCCAGAAGCCAGCAATGGGCCAAGAGTTAGGAAGACCCAAGTTCAAATGCAACCTTAGACACTTATTAGCTGTGTGACCCTGGGCAAGTCACTTAACCTTTATTTGTCTTAGGTTCCTCAATTGTATATGGGGATAATAATACCTCTCAGGGTTGTTGTGAGGATTAAATGAGATAATATTTTAAAGTGTTTAGCAGTGCCTGGTATGTGTCATTGGTCAGTCGTCTGAGTCGTGTCTGTCTCTTTGTGACCCCTTTTGGGGTTTTCTTAGCAAAGATATTGGAGTGGTTTGCCATTTCCTTCTCCAGCTCATTTCACAGATGAGAAATAGAGGCAAATAGCTTTAAATGACTTGCCAGGGTCACACAGCTGGTAAGTGTCTGAAGCCAGATTTGCACTCAAGATGAGTCTTCCTGTCTCTAGGCCTGGTACTCTATGCACTGCGTCACCTAAAAAATGCTCGTCCCTTCTCATCCCCTAGAAATTTTAATCCTTTGATCTTCACAACTTCCACTCTGGGGCCCAGTAGCCTCATTAATGGCCATCTCATCTAGGTCACCATTTCCAACAGATACAGTCACATACCTCTTCATTTCTCCACCCATCTTCTCAACAGAAGGGGTATATCAAGCTGCTCTCCTGTGGCCTCACTCACCATCCCTGGAACATTCCAGATTGAAATGCCACTCCTCGGCCCCTAGACTCCTAGCTCTATTGTCTCCTCCTATCAGAATGTAAGCTCACGGAGTGCCAGGACTCTCTGCTTTTGTATTTGTGTCCCCGGCACTTGGCATAGTATTGGTGCATGGTGTTTCCTTTATAAATAGTCCTTCATTCATTTATTCACTCCTTCATACTTATGAGTGGAGAAGCCTAAACACTTTCTTTTTCATCGTTTCATGCCCTAAAGAAATGGCTAGAGTTTTCAAAGGTACTGTCTTCAAAAAAAAAAAAATGAGAGAAGGCTGACTCCATCATACTTTGACATTTCTTTGTTTTCTGCCACGGACTAGATTTTTCCACAAATGGCTACTGACTGAGACTTTTAATTAGACATTCCCAGAATCGCCTGCAAAATATTGCAAAAATGTTTTAGACCATGTGTTATAGCAGAGAGACTTGACACATGTCAGATAAGGGAAGTGTCAGGAATGTTAGCAAGATTTTTGAAAATTCTGGGTAGATCTCCCTGCGTGAACTTTCAGTACCATAAGCAGAGCCTGGCCCTTGTAGTTACTAAGTAAGTTAGATAGACCTAAAACATTTACCGACTTCTCAAGGTGGCTCCACAGTAGTATCTTTGGTCATTGTGTTAGAGTCGATGGTCTCTATCAATTAATACTTTTACTGATGAGGAAACAGAGGCTAGGAAGGGCTCAGTGATTTCCCCAGCTAGTACTAGGAAGCCTTCCAGGAAGACTTGGTAGGACTTTCCAGGTTTTGTGTTCCCTTGGAATAGGCTTAGAGGACCCACTTAAAATACCCAGAGTCACCACCACGTTACAATGAGGCATCATAATACACTTTGGAGGGAGGGTTGTCCTAATTGGTCTCAAGAAACCACTTCAAGCACTGTCTCTGTGGGGAAACATCGGATACTCATATCCTCCTATTTCTGATGGGGCCCTCCACCTCTTTTTCATAGGCCTTCCCATTCTTCCAGGCAGTGAATGTTGGGACTTCTCTTCTAGTCCCAAATTACTGGTAGTGGTTTTACAGTGTGAAACAGGGGAAGGGGGGAGGAGGTGTAAAGTTTCCACCTGGTGTGCCAGGGTTTAGAAAATTAAGGGGTCAGGTCTTTTGCCAGTGTAAGCCATAGAGGGTACCTCTTATTTGTTAATTGGCTCCTCAGCAGCTACTACCCACCCCCTTTCTTTTCTTCTTCAAGCCCTGAGGATTGACCTTCCTTTCTGGCATTCAAAGCCCTTCATCGCCTGGCCACTCCTTCCTTTCCAGCCTCCATCACCTTACCCCCTTCATATATTCTTCAAGCCAGAGGCACTGACCCCCTTGCTGTTCCTCCCATTCAGTTCTCCATCTCCCATCTTCTGGCATTTTTCTGCCTGTGCTGGAATTCTGCCTGGAACACTCTCCCTCCTAATCTCTGCCTCCTGGCTTCCTTCAAGTCTCATCTAAAATCCCGCCTTCTTCAAGAAGGCTTTCTGTCCCACTTCGCTTAATGCTAGTGCCTTTCTTTTGAGATAATCTCACATTTGTCTTGCATATATTTTAGGTTTTTTACATAGTTGTTTACTTCTTCTCCACTCCCCCCCCCATTAGATTGTAAGCTCCTTGAGAGCAGGGACTGTTTTCTGCCTTTCTTTGTGTCCCCAGCTTTTAGCTTTACATATCTAGGCACTTGGTAAATGCTTGTTGATTTGATTTAACTTGACTTGCCTTGACTTTCTGCTTCCTTTTCAATGGCCAAGGGTTAAAATCTGGGGTTTTGTGAGATTCAAATCAGATAATGGTTGTAAAGCACCTTGTAAACCTTAAAGTGCTATATAAATGTCAGTTATTACTATCATTATTATCTTCCAGTTACCAGATCTCCAGTCTGGTCATAACTTCATTCTCTGAGTCATCTATTACTTACAGATAAATACAGGGGTGTACTAGTACATATTTAACAACACACACTTTAAAAGTTTAATCTGCATTATTATACTTTCTTAAGTCCAGAAAATCAATACAACAATGAAGTCCTGATTTGTGGCATGAAATGTTCACACTGGAAATTGAATACCTGGGGGGCAGGGTTAGAGCTGGCTCCAGCACACCCCTGGTGAAAAAGCTCCTTTCTCCCTTTTTTCACTACCCACTCATCTACATTGGAGAACTAAAAAAATTTACAGTTGAGAACTCGGTTACCCTGAAGCCCAGATCTTTTTCATAGTTACTAGGCAAATAGTCATCCCCTGGTTTATAACCTGGTCTTAAGAGATTGGAGACTGAGAAGCGTCTGGCATCGTTACCAGTAGCTGCGCTGAAATCTCTGACAGGGAGATTCATGACCCTCAATCAAGAGAAAAGTCCGAAGAAAAGTCTAGTTCAAAGGTAGGGATTCCTAACTTTTATATCATGGATTCCTTTAGTTGTCTGTTGAAGCCTGTGGACTCCTTATCAGAGTAATTTTTTAAATGCATAAAATAAAATACTTATGATTACAAAGAAAACCAATTATTTTGAAATGCATTTGTCAAAATATTTTTTAAAATAACTAGTTCATGGAACCCAGGTTAAGAGCCATGGTCTAAAGACTTTAACAAGTTGGTAGAAACCTCTTCTTTCTTGGAAAAAAAAGACTGAGGATCTTCTGCTGGGGATACCAGGGACCTTAGTGGCCAACACTTTGAAGAGACGAGACAGTGGAGACTTATTGTTAGTCATAGCACAAGAATTTTCTGCCTTTCCTAAAAGAGCTAGAAAAAGCCTACAGCCATTAAGGAAGCACGAAAACCAAGAAAGACATGGCCAAGGATTTTAGCTGAGTTAGAAATTGGAGTAAGCCAAGTAACAACTGGCAAAAACAAGAGCTGAGTAAGCACCAGGAGAAACTACAAGTTGGGTCAAGTGGAGATGAGATAATTAGCAGCAATCACGTCTGGTAGGAGCAGTGTGACATCCCCAGAACAAAGCAGCATCGGAGGCATGAGCTGTTTCTCCACGCGTTTGCCTTGGTCCCACGTGCTCCTTAACTATCTACCTTTCCCCCTTTGTTCCCTATGGGGTCGACTCTTCCCATTAGAGCTCAGTTTAAAGAAAAGTCTGGCCAGGTTTATGAGGGAAGTGTCATATTGCTACTTTTTATTATCATGCCATTTCATTAAATGACTTTTCTTTGATCTGATTGTATCTTCTGGCTTACTATTAAAGGTAATCGCACCAGTGGGGACTTGTGAGCAATAGTTTTAGGGAATGAAAACCTATAGAGAACCTTGAACTTGGGGCGGCCATATGAAAGTTGAGGGGTGCTCTACACTAATAATAACCCCCATTTCAATAGTACTTTGGGATTTTTGGAGTGGGGTTCATACAAGCAGTCCTATGTGGTAGTTAATGAAAATATTATTGTCAATAGGCATGGCTCACATAGGGAAATTTAAAGGGAGCGCACCTATTGATATGGGACCGAAGAAGAACACAGCTGCTACACACTCTCCATTTTGCAGATGTGGAAACTGAGGCTCAGAAAGGTTTTAGTAATTCTCCTAGGGTCCCAAAGCCAGCATATATCACAGGCTGACATATGATCGTCAGATTCCAACACTAGTACTTTTTTCCTTATGTCATATTGCCTTGGGGTGTTCCAAAGAATGATTCATGTACTTTTCAGAAGAAAAGCAAACCTGGAATACCCTATATATCTAATAAGTCAGTCAGTCAACAAGCATTTATTAAGCACCTACTGTGTGCCTGGCACTATGCTAAGCACTGTCATAGAAGCTGGTGGGGGGGGTAGGGCTCTGGGAGAAAGAAGATAATAGAAAAAAGAAGAGAATGAAGGAAAGGTCTTGGGTGGCAGGGGGGAAGGTCAAACAAGGATGCTTCCAGAGGAAAGCTGCTCTGGGCCATGAGGATTTAAGATTAATGGGAAGGGAATGTGCCTTTCTTTATCCCTAGCACTTAATTCAGTGCCTAGAATGTAGTAGGTGTTCAATAAATGTTTATTGACTCTGTATATGTGTGTGTGTGTGTGTGTGTGTACACATATACACACATATATAATGTCTATGAGAATTATATATATATATATGTTTTATTATATAGAAACTATAATAATAATAATAATGATAGCTAACATTTATATAGCTCTTACTATGTGCCAGGCACTGTGCTAAGTGCTTTATAATTATTATCTCATTTGAGCCTCACAATAACCATGGGAGGTAGGTGCTATTATTATGCCCATTTTACAGAAGAAGAAACTGAGGCAAACAGAGATTAAGTGATGTCTAGGGTCACACAGCAAGTAAGTGCCCGAAGCTGGATTTGAACTCAGCTCCAGGCCTGGTGTTCTATCCGGTGTGCCACCTAGACTGGAATTGTGTAGATATTTGTTGTTTTAAACATTCTTCCAATTTAGCTGTAATTTTGGGATGCTAGTAATTTTCAACAAATTTATTCACAGCCTTCTCCTTAATAGTTCCATACCTAAAGTGTCTTAGATGGAGGAAAATAAGGTATTTATACATATTGCCTTCACCTCTTGGTTCAATTTGACCTACAGATTCTAGCTCAAAACCTTCATTTGCTATCTTTCCCTAGTGTATGTTAAGAATTTTATACTTGTCAAATCCATTTGGAGAAAGATACCATGAGATAAAGGAACTATTTGATGTATTTTTCATATAGCTTGATGTCAACTGTGTATATCAAGAATCATAATAATAATAATAATTATGGCTACCATTTATATAGTGCTTACTATGAGCCAGGCACTGTGCTAAGTGCTTTATTATTATTTCACTTGATACAATAAACTTGGGAAGAAAGTGCTATTATTCTCATTTTATAGATAAGGAAACAGATTAAGCGACCTACCCAGGGTCACACAGCTAGTGCGTCTCAGGGGACAAATTTGAACTCAGATCTTCCTGATTCCAGAACCAGCATCATGTAGCCGCCTCCTAAGGGGCAGTCCTGC